AGAAGAAGCAGATAAATGGAGTTGTTCAAGTTTGTTAAGGACATCCAATCTTCAAAAACAAATCTTCTCTGCTGAACAATCTGGTAGTTGTTCGATATAGACTTCAAGGTTTTGAAGATTTGGAAACCTTTTGAAAACATCCTCCGTGTCTTCTGAACCGGGAAGGTAGAGCTCATATAATGTTCTCAAATTTTCTAACCTTAAATCCTCATCTAACACAGTTGGTTCGTTGATGTCCGGATCAAAGAGAGCACAACACTTCATCCGGACATCTCGTATCTTTGCAAGACTCCAAAAACAAGGCGATAGTATCATGCATGATCCCTCCAGGTTATCCATCACCAGAGTTTCTAGATTGCAGAGGTTTGAAAATGACGGAGGGAGAGCTTTAGCCCTCGTCCGAATGATTTAAGTACTTCAAATGAACGAGCATACAGGTTTCATTCAGCAAAGAATCTGTAAATGTTATGCCCTTCAAATCCAAACTTTTGAGAAGCCTCAAGTGTTTTAGGTGACTCTTGTAGGAAAGACAATCCTTAATCCCATCATACACCTTCAGAGAGAGGAGGTGTTTAACATAAGTATTCTTCTTTTCTGGATTAAACACTACAAAATTTTCATCCAAATGAAAGAGACGTTGATCATAACGAATGGTAATTCCTCGTGCCATCATACCAGAAGAAGAAGACAGAGCGTTTGAACCTCCTATGAAGTCAAACAACTTTTCCTTTCTAGATTTTATATAACAAAATTCATGCACAAGATCATGAATTTTGTAAATAGAATTATCGAAATTACCAAGCTACTCAAAATTAACTCATCCACTAGTTCTTCTGCACTTTTCATCTCAATCTGCTCCACAAGTCCGTCACCAATCCACAAATCTTTCAACTCACAGATCCATATATCTTCGTCCTTTGGATAACTTGCAAGGCAAACCAAACACGACTTCACGTGATCTGACAAATGGTCATAACTTAATTGAATAACCTTTACCACTTCCTCTTCATCCTTAAAAATAAAGGAACTCAAATTATTCAGAACTTCAACCCACAAAGCCTCTTTCTTTTCCTTCCTTGATATGACTCCACCAATTAAATCAAGTATTAAAGGAAGCCCATCACACTTTCGAGCTATCTTTTCTCCAACATCCTTTAGTTCATTAGGGCAACGTTCTTCTCCGAATACCCTTTTCTCTAATAACTCCCAACTTTCTTCTGATCTTAGCAATCGAAGATAAAGAGGATCACTGTGGCATTTTCCATGCAAAGCAACTTCCTTTTTCGGACTTGTTAAAATCACTCTGCTTCCTTTCTGAAATTCAGGAAAAGGTCTTGTTAGCTCATCGAATGTTGCAGTATCCCACATGTCATCCAAGACAATAAGGTACCGATGTCCATATAGTTTTTTCCGCAGCTTATCAACAACGTCATCATCTATGTCATCCTCATTGAATTTTTCTTTCAAACCAATAACTTGATTGAAAACTTTCTGCAACAACTTTTTGTCATTACGTTCCTGGTCGACTGTGCATCAAGTACAAACATCGAAATGATCAACAATGGACTTATCATTATATACTCTGTATGCCAAAGTAGTTTTTCCAAGCCCTGGCATGCCAACTATGGAAATGACATCTATCACAGTTGGTCCACTGGTGAGCTTCCTAATTATCCACTCTGTCTCCTCCTCAAAACCTACAATTATTTGACCAACTGTAGTTTCTAATTGAATAGCGTCAAGCTCATCCAGAAATTTCATGATTTTTTTGTGCTCTTCCACGCATTCAAATGTTTGTTCCGTGATTATTGAACTAACTTTGTCCAGCATGTCTGTACATTCCACAAAAATGAATTCACATGGCGCGCCTCTTGTCTTGCATTCTCCGCTTCATCACCCCTACCAACATCATAAATAACAGAAGAATCATAATAGGGGTTTGGGGGAAGGGAATAAGATTTTGGGCAACCATTCCAATGAATATATTGACGACCACATATATGACATAAAGGACATTCATCACCCAACCATGATTTATCCCAATCATCCATATCAATAAGAGTACCAAATTATTCAAAGAAAGAAAAAATAATAATTGTTGAAGAAAAACTAATTAAAAAAAGAAAAAAAATTAATAAAAAGAAAAAGTATAACTTAGAAGAATAGTTAATTTGTATGTCCTTGGCAGCGACGTCAAAAACTTGTTGCTCCCAATTGCACACGCAAGTGTACGCGGTCGTGCAAGTAATATAGTGGATCTTAAAAGTACCAGATTATCGAACCAAAATGACTTGTCAATTAACTATTTTTACTAAATTATACTGGTCTAATTATATATTTAAGAGTGCCAAAATAAAAGAATGCAAGAACAAAATAATAAAATTACTTACAATAGTTGGAAAATTCTAGGGCTGCAGCATGCAATGAATCTCATTTATCATATTTTTGGCTTAGAACTAATTTTAGTTGTCAAGTTACTGGTTTACAGGGTTAATTGTATGAGTCGGGTTCAGTACACCTCCAGTCGCCTACTCCAGTTAGCTATCTAACTATATCGTTGAGCGGAGATAAATAGACTAACTGGCGAGCATTTATATTTCACCCTGTTTCGTAACCAAGCAAGTTGTCCATCCGGACGTCACTCCTAAACACAAATCACCTCAATCAAATGGATCGATCGAGCTCTCTATATTCTCTGGTCTATCTAACCTCTCCTCTCCTGATTTTAAGATTAGACAATATATTTATCTCTAGATGGCCAGTCAAGAAATACTAAAACAAGAATATAGAAGTAACTTATAATGACAACCAAGAATTAATTCATAAATCTCAAATAATAAACATTTAATTTGTGGCTATAGCCCCAGAACAAGGGTGTTTAGCCACTAATCTCTAAGAAAACAACAAGAAGAAAAGAACCCTAAAAAGTATTGACGACTTTTTACTTGATGTCCTTTGATTGATCTCCTATAATTGAATGCCTCCAATAATTATTTCTATGGACTATTTATAGATATAGTAAATCTTAAATAAAATAATTGAGTCCAAAGCAAATTAGGAATTCAAAACCAAATGAAATTTGGTTCTCTTCTTTTTCGCGTGAAACTGTATTGCCGAACCGCCTCACGTGGCAAGGCCAATATCAATTGGCGTTCTTTGGCTATCTGCATATAAATATGAATATAATATTCAATTTAATCCATTAAACTGCTGCTTGATTTCCTTCTTCAACCTTTCATCTTTAATTCGTTTTGACTCAAACTTTTTTAACTTTACATCAATTTACTCCTATAAATAAAATACACTATTTAGCACAATTCATAAAATTAATGCTTAAAAAGAACAAATATAAATAATAAATATGTGGTAAATAATGATTAAAAATATATTTTTTTGGCCTCACATCAATAATCATACCTTAAGGTTGAGAAAATGGTCCAATGATTAATTAATTGGCTAAAGACAAACTTTTAGTATCATAATATTTTATAAAACATTTTCTAAGAAAATATTTTTCTTTGTACCAAACACACCCTTAACGTAATAAAGTATTAGTGTGTAAATGACTTTTCGTGCAATTATAGGGGCATCTTATGTCTTTTTTCCTTGATTAAAGAATATAAGATGATAATGTGTAACTTTTGATCACGAGACTAAAAAGAAAATATAAAAAGATGACTTTAGTCTAAAGTAGTCTTGTGAATTGTCTTTTTATATTGTCCAATTCTCAATGTCTAATTATTTCTTCTTTCTAATACCAATAATACTCCAATTCTCAATTCCTTTAAGCACTTCTCATACACAATTTTTTTGAAATATATTTATTTATTAAAATATTTGACTGGTCAATTTTTTTTTGTAGAAAAATGAGTTTTTTGATTTGTAAAAATAAGAAAAATGACTTTTCTAATGAAAGCAGGAGAAACAAGTTTCACAAATGACATTTTAAAACACCGCTTATTTTGAAATGGAGGGAGTAACACCTCACTGCTCAGACAAAATAGGAATCATAAAATTGCATGTTTTGACTTTTAAATGGGTTGGTCTTTAACTTTTGTCTTTTAACAATTAAATTTATACCTAATAAGATATAAGTTTTTTAGCAACGGAAATCATATCCCAACATAATTATAAAATTTTATGATACGAAAATATAAACTTATCCACCTAAATAAAGGGAAAGGTTAAAAATGCCCTTAAACTATGTGAAAAATGAACAAAAATGTCCTTGTCGTCAATACTTTCGTCCAAAAATACCCTTATTATTATTTAATGGGTCAAAATGCCCATTTTCCAAATAAATATATTATTTATTTTTTTAACACATTCTTTTTCTAATAATATATTTTTAAAAAATTAACAAATGTTTATCCTCCAATTCAGAAAAAAAATAATTAAAAAAAATATTTCTTATTTTATTATAATTATTTTTATCGTTATATAATAAAAAATAATGATGAATATACTATGATCTCATATATATGACATATATTATCCATCGAAAGGGTACATGAAGTTATCCTATTTTAATTGATAAAATGAGATTAAGAAGAAATTTTTTTCCCTATATTTTTATTTGTTAAAGTGATTTTAAAAGAAAGAAAACAAGAATAGGGTTCCTCAAATATATTTTAATTAGGAAGAAGATGTGTTCAAAAAGAAAAGAAATAATATATTTATTTTGGAAAATGATATTTTTGACCCATTTAGTAACTATAAGGGCATTTCTTGACTAAAGTATTGACTCCAAGACATTTTTGAACCAAAGTATTGACGGTAAAAACATTATTTTTGAGCCAAATTATAAATGGAGGGCCTTTTTATTCATTTCATATAATTTAAGGGCATATTTGACCCTTTTCCAAAAAATATATTCTAAAAGTGCAAATTAAGGACCAAATAAGAACCACACATTGAGACATTATCAGTAGCCTTATCTTCAAATTTCCTTTATTCTTAGTTTGATGTAAATTGTTTCTACTGAAAAAGAGAAGTTGAACTACTTTGGCTTGATTAGTGAGAATGGAAAGAGGAAAAGAAAATGAAGGACAAACAAAAGGGGAAGATAACAAATCATTGGTATGTTGTTTATAATATTTAATTATTTTTTTCATTCACATAATTAATGTTTCTTGTAAGTATGTTTGTTGCTTTGTGTAACTTAGATGGTGATTATAATCTTTATAACCTATAAGAATCGATGATTTAATCTTTTTGGTATAAGTTAAACTCCATGTACTAAATCATCTGCTATGGTTGATAAATGTAAGGGCAAGAATATAATCAAACCTTGTATTAGATCATGAGAATCGGGCCTTGGTGGCCTAAGTACAACATGTTTGGAATGGCTTAAGAATAGGGGTGACAAATGGGCGGGTTGGGTAAAATTTGGGCGGGTTGAAAATGGGTCAACATAAAATGGGTAATAATTCAACCCGCCCATATTTGATATAGGTAAAAATGGATTGGGTAAGAAATGGGTTGGGTAAAATACTAGTTTACCCATATTTACTCATATTTTCAAGATGTAAATAGTACTAGATCTACATAAGAATTCAACATGGAGAAAATATTTTTGTCTTTTTTTAGATGAAAATGCTTCATTTAATTTTATTGTATCATAAAAGTAAAAAAAAAATCCTATAATTTTTCAATATAAAATAAAATTATGTAATAACAAGGGGAAAACATTTTTAATTTCAAAAAGTAAATGAATATTTGCATTTTAGGACTAAAGCATGCTTAATGCACTTTAAGCAATGTCAATATTAATACATGATTTGCTTATTTTACCGGGAAAATGCATAAGTACCCCCAGCCTATACCCAAAATCCCAGAGACACACCTAATCTTTGCTAAGGTCCTATTACCTCCCCGAACTTATTTTATATGTAATATTCTACCCCTTTTTGGCCTACGTGGCACTATCTTGTGGGCCCAATGAATGTTGACAAATTTTTCAAGGATAGTGCCACGTAGGCCGAAAAGGGGTAGAATATTATAGATAAATTAAGGTCGGGGGGGGGGGGGTAATAGGACCTTAGTAAAGGTTAGGTGTGTCTCTGGAATTTCGGGTATAGGCTGGGGGGTACTTATGCATTTTCCCTATTTTACCCTATGTAAATGACTTTTCATGCAATTATAGGGGTATTTTATGTCTTTTTCCCTTGATTGAACGATATAAGATGATAATGCAGGTGTAACTTTTTGACCATGAGACTAAAAAGAAAATATAAAAATATGACTTTAGTCTAAAGTAGTCTTGTGAATTGTCTTTTTATATTGTCCAATTCTCAATGTCTAATTATTTCTTCTTTCTAGTACCAATAATACTCCAATTCTCAATTCCTCCAAGCACTTCTCATACACAATTTTTTGAAATATATATTTTTTAAAAAAAAAATTGATTGGTCAATTTTTTTCTTTAGAAAAATGAGTTTTAAATTTATAAAAATAAGGAAATGACTTTTCAAATGAAAGCAGGAGAAACAAGTTTCATAAGTGAAACACCTTAAACTATGTGAAATAAACAAAAATGTCATCCGTTTATAATTTGGTTCAAAATTACCCTTGCCTCATTATTTTCGTCCATAAACGCCTTTATTATTATTTAATGGGTCAAAAATGCCCTTCCAACTAAATATATTATTTATTTTCTTCTTAACACATATTTTTTCTAATAATATTTTTTAAAATTAGTGAATGTTTATCCTACTTCAATTTTTTTTAAAAAAAAAATTCTTATTTTATTATAATTATTTTTTATTGTTATATAAATGAAAATTAAAGATGGATATACTATGATGTTATATAGGTGACGAAAATTGATGGCAAGGACATTTTTGAGCCAAACTATAAATGAAGGATTTTTTGTTCATTTCACATAGTTTTAAAATATTTTTGACCCTTTTCCGAAAAATATATTCTTAAAAGGCAAAAGACCAATTAGGAACCCCACCTAGTGAGACATTATTAGTGGGCTAATCTTTAACACCTTTACAACTCTCAACTGGAAAAGAAAAGATTCTAATTACACCTTTGATTTTCCTTCATTCTTAGTTTGATGTAAATTGTTTCTCTTGAGAAGTTGAAAGGAAGGAATTTTTTTTTAAAACTACTTTAGCTTGATTAGTGAGAATGGAAAGAGGAAAAGAAAATGAAGGACCAACAAAAGGGGAAGATAACAAATCATTGGTATGTTGCATAACTATTTTTTTCATTCACATAATTAATATATTCTTGTAAGTATGTTTGTTGCTTTATGTCACTTAGATGGTGAATATAATCTTTATAACCTATAAGAATCAATGATTTAATCTTTCTGGTATAAGTTAAACTCTATGTACTAAATCATATGTTACGGTTGATAAATGTAAGGGCAAGAGATATAATCAAACCTTGTATTAGATCATGAGAATCGGGCCTTGGTGGCCTAAGTACAACATGTTTGGAATGGCTTAAGAATAGGGGTGACAAATGGGCGGGTTGGGTAAAATTTGGGCGGGTTGAAAATGGGTCAACATAAAATGGGTAATAATTCAACCCACCCATATTTGATATAGGTAAAGATGGATTGGGTAAGAAATGGGTTTGGTAAAATACTAGTTTACCCATATTTACTCATATTTTCATGAGTAAATAGTAATCTACTTAAGAATTCAACATGGAGAAAATATTTTAGTCGTTTTTTAGATGAAAATGTTTCATTTAGTTTTATTGTATCATAAAAGTAAAAAAAAAATCCTATAATTTTTCAATATAAAATAAAATTATGTAATAACAAGGGGAAAACATTTTTAATTTCAAAGTAAATGAATATTTGCATTCTAGGACTAAAACATGCTTAATGCACTTTAAGCAATGTCAATACTAATACATGATTTGCTTATTTTACCCTATATATTTATCATCCAATATAAAATTAAACAAATAAAAAAATATATAATTATAAGTAACAAAAGAAATGTACATTTAAAATATATATTTTGAAGGGCCAAAGACTTCAACTTTTCAATTATAGTAAAAAATAATTAGTTCTATTGGAGAGAACATAAAAAGCAAGAGAAAGTCCTCTGCACTTGTAACAGTTGCTTGTTGTAATGTAAGAGTAAAAATTAGAGTCAATCAAAACATGCCTGAGCTATCATGTTTTGGCGAGTTTCACAACTCAGTCGTTCCCTTTTTCTATCTAAACTATCTCCATCTATATATTAACATAATTTGAAACAACATTTGCTCTTTTGGCAGGTGCCATCCCGCGATGTACTTCATTGGAAGGACCTTGTCAATCTTCAATATTTCATATATGAGTTAGATTCGAGGCGTGTTCACAACTGTCTAATTGAAGAGTTGACATTGGAGCTGACGTGTGTGTCCGCATTTTGTCATCTTTATTACACTTTCTTTTTGGAAAGCTGTAATGACGAAATGTCAAATGAGATTCATGATTTGGTTCAGTCACTGTGTCATCCAAGTGGGGTAGACATGCAGCTGGTTAATGAAAAGCTTTGTGACCTCTTGGTGAAAATCAGAAGTTATATTAGCTCACATATATATGCTGAACCAAGTCGTGTAACAGCCATGACCGAGGATCGTTTCATTGAACTTTTAAATGCCATCCTCGAGTATTTCAAATGTCTAATCTGGTGTTGTTATGAATCAATGTTCCCATCAATGACTCAATATAATCTTCTTCAGAATGTAATTTACAATTTAAGAGATTTCCTTGAGTTGAAAGTAATTGGTTGTGTTGAGTATGAAACAATCGAATATGTCTTACCTCATCTTCAACTTATGGCTCTGAGAATAGTAAACTTCTGTTTTACTCTTTTGGATTGTCTACTTGAAGATTCAGATAAATCAGATGTCTCTCTAGTTGACCCCAAGCTAGCTAATCTACTTGTGGAGGTTATTCCTGTTGAACTGGAGGTTATGCTCATATGTTGTACAAATTTGAAAGGTTCAAAGTCGGAAGAAGTTGAGCAGCTCGTAGAAGCCTTTCCGGACATTCTTAGAGAAACTCTGATTCATCTACAAGAGCACATGGTTAATGTTCTTACTCCTAGCGCTTCTACGTGTAACATTCATGTCATGATAGAGTTCCTATTGATTATTCTTACTGATGTGCTCAAGGACGTTATTCGTCATGACAAATTGTTTGTTCTCTTGGCACGTGTTATAGAACTTACCAAGGAGGTATTCGTTCTTGTTCGCAACATAGAAGAGAATATGAATGAAGCAAGTGATGCAAACCTAAACTTGATGGAAAATATTGAACTCCTCAAGGAAGATCTCAAGAATGATTTCTTAAAAGCCCGTGCAGACTCGTCACAGCTCCGCTTCCCCATGAGTGATGGACCGCTCTTCATGACTCTTCTACTCATAAACTTAAATGACTTGGTCAATTCCAATGCTTATTCAGTTTCTTTGATAAAAGAAGAAATCGGGCAGGTGAAAAAAGACCTGGAAATCATAAGATCGTTCTTCGGGTATGTTGAGCAAACGTTTCATAGAGATCTTTGGACTCGTGTTCTAGATGTGGCATATGAGGCGGAACATGCCATAAACTCAATTCTTGCCCGAGATCATGGTTTATTGCAGCTTATCTTCATACTTCCTGATACCGTAGAAAAGATCAAGCTTGTCAAAACAGAGGTACAAGAGAAGATCCCCAGAAGAGGTGCAAATGCTCCCAACAAGCCGATTGAAAGAAACTCATCAATTACAGTTGGTAAAATAATCGTAGGTTTTGAGGAGGAGACAGAGTGGATAATTAGGAAACTCACCAGCGGACCAGCTGAGATAGATGTCATTTCCATAGTCGGCATGCCAGGGATTGGAAAAACTACTTTGGCTTACAGAGTGTATAATCATAAGTCGATTGTTGATCACTTCGATGTTTGTGCTTGGTGCACAGTCGACCAGGAACGTAATGAGAAAAAATTGTTGCAGAAAATTTTCAATCAAGTTATTGGTTTGAAAGAACAATTCAATGAGGATCATCACATAGATGATGACGTTGCTGATAAGCTGCGGAAACAACTATTTGGAAAACGGTACCTTATTGTCTTGGATGACATGTGGGATGCTGCAACATTGGATGAGCTAACAAGACCTTTTCCTGAATTACGGAAAGGAAGCAGAGTGATTTTAACAAGTCGAAAAAAGGAAGTGGCTTTGCATGGAAAATGCCACAGTGATCCTCTTTATCTTCAATTGCTAAGATCAGAAGAAAGTTGGGAGTTATTAGAGAAAAGGGTATTCGGAGAAGAACGTTGCCCTGATGAACTAAAGGATGTTGGAGAAAAGATAGCTCGAAAGTGTGATGGGCTTCCTTTAGTACTTGATCTAATCGGTGGAGTCATTTCACGGAAGGAAAAGAAAGAGGCTTTGTGGCTTGAAGTTCTGAATAATTTGAGTTCCTTTATTTTTAAGGATGAAGAGGAAGTGGTGAAGGTTATACAATTAAGTTATGACCATTTGTCGGATCACGTAAAGCCGTGTTTTGTTTGCCTTGCACGTTATCCAAAGGACAAAAATATAAGGATCTCTGAGTTGAAAGATTTGTGGATTTCTCAAGGATTTGTGCATCAGATTGAGATGAGAAGTGCAGAAGAAGTAGTGGATGAGTTAATTTCAAGTAGCTTGGTAATACCTTTCGATAATTCTATTTGCAAAATTCATGATCTTGTGCATGACTTTTGTTATATAAAATCTAGAAAGGAAAAGTTGTTTCACTTCATAGGATGTTTAAATGCTTCGTCTTCTTCTGGTATGATGGCACGAGGAATTACCATTCGTTGTGAAAATCTTTTGCGGTTTAATCGAAAAAAGGAGAATCCTATTGTGCTGCTTAATCGAGAAAAGGAGAATCCTTATGTTAAACACCTCCTCACTCTGAAGGTGATTTATGGGCTTGGGCATTGTCATCACCACAAGAGTCACCTAAAACACTTGAGGCTTCTCAAAAGTTTGGATTTGAAGGGCATAACATTGACAGATTCTTTGCTAAATGAAATTGGTATGCTCATTCATTTGAAGTACTTAATCATTCAAACTCAGGCTAACACTCTCCCTCCGTCATTTTCAAACCTCTGCAATCTAGAAACTCTGGTGGTCAAAAACCGGGAGGGATCATGCATGATATTATCTCCTTGGTTTTGGAGTCTTGCAAAGCTACGAGATGTGCGGATGGAGTATGGTGCTGTCTTTTGTCCGTACATCAACGAACCAACTGTGTTAGATGAGGATTTAAGGTTAGAAAATTTGAGAACATTATATGAGCTCTACCTTCCCGGTTTAGAAGACACGGAGGATATTATTTTCAAAAGGTTTACTAATCTTCAAAACCTTAGAGTCTGTATCGAACAACCAGAAGATTGTTCAGCAGAGAAGATTTGTTTTCCAAGATTGGATGTCCTTAACGAACTTGAACAACTCCGTTTATATTCTTTTTGGGATTCCTACAATGAATATACACACGGCTTCCCTTCGAGCTTGAAGAAAATGAAGTTGCTAGGGCTTGCTCTGACATACGATACACTTTCAAGAATTGCTAGACTACCCAACCTTCAAGAACTAATTCTAAAATGCACAATCATCAATGAGGGGAAAGAATGGAACATGGAAGATGTCACCTTCCAGAATCTCAAATATCTAAAATTGTATAGGGTGGAATTTTCTGAATGGCAGGTTGATGCAGAGAAATCCTTTCCCGTGCTCAAGAAACTAGACATACGTGAATGTTGTAAGCTTATGGAGATCCCAGACAGTTTTGGAGATATTGCGTCATTAGAGCTTATCAAAGTATGGCACAGCCCTCAGCTTAAAGTGTCGATCTTCAATATTAAGGAATATGTTGAAGTAATGACTGGAGAAGACAAGCTTAAGTTACACATCTTTGGTTGAGGTATGCTTCATTAACAGATTACTTTTACAAATGTTATGTGTTTTCCAATATTAGTTTTAACTTATACAATATATGTTCTTTGCAGATCAGATCAGATCGAGCTAGCGCATACAAATTCTCAAAACATGTATGCCTTCTTCCAACATTAATAACTGTTTATCAAGTATAAACAGTGCTTGCTATCAGCACTTGTGTTCTTTATTATAACGGATGAGATATTATATGCGTGCTTGCTTTTCATTACTATGTATTAGTTGTAATCTACAAACCATTATTTAGCCCATCTTGACTTGGGACATGATTGAGCAACGACACATTGATTCAGTCCATTCTGACCCATCCAAATTTTTGCCCATCTTGACTTAGGACATGACTAATAATGTTTTTCAAAGAAGTGTAAGTTCCATATATGGCTACTGAAGAACCAAAAATCAAAATCATCCCAATAAACACAACTTCCAAATATGAAGGCTTCTTGATCTTGAGGTAGCATAGGCATGGTAAGATTATCGGCACGGTAACGCCCAAAAGAGCGCCCGTAAATGTCATGACACATCCAAAGAATGGAACGGTTAACGCCACAATGGCAGTGCTAATGACTAAAAATGTTCTGATGAAGTAGCTTACGATAAATTTACTCTTTCGTAAAGGTAATTTATCTTCAATAGCCGTTGCAATTGGAGAGACGACAAGAGCATACTTTGTTATTGGATTAACGAGTGTCGTATATATCGCAATTTTTGAACTAATTTTCCCGATAGGGAGATTTAATGTTATTTGTGACATTAAATTTTGTCCATACATTAAGTACCCCATAGTTGCCATAGATCCATAGGTTATGGTGCTTAATATAAAGCACACAAATAAAACCTGTTTGACAAAAAAGAAAAAAAAAAAAGATTTAAGTTATATATACGATGATCAAATAAAATATGTTTATAATTATTGGTGTAATATGACATGTAGGCTGTAGCAAAGGTATTTATAATTTAGTATGAGAAAATATGAAATGTCATTTTTTTTAATAATTAGACATATGATTATTTATAAATTGAAATGTCATCTGCCAGCTTCATATTCAATCAAATATTGAACAAAAATATTTTATTTATAAATTGAAAAGTTCTTGAATCTCACGTTAAGTTTTCTGTTCCGTATATTTAAGTGTCTTTCTGTATATTTTTGTATTGTTTTGTCTATTTCTATGGTTGGAGTACTTCTCTCCAACTTCCAAGTGTTGAAGCACTTTCTATGTAGTGTGGGAGTAATACTTCCTCCATCTCATTTTATGATGTACTTTTATATAATTTTTAATTTGTCGTCCCAAAAGAGATGTCTGATTTTTCTATAACAGAAAAATAACATAACTTTAAATTTCCTTTTACGCCCTTCATGAAACGTTATACAACCACAACTTTCAAAAAAAATATTTCCTTCTTTCTTAAGATTTATGTCTAGTCAAAAAGTAGGCATAATACATAAATATGTCTTTTAACTTGGCTTCAAATTACATTTATGCCCTTCAACTTTCGGTGTGCACAAATAGACACTTAAATTTGTATAAAGTTGAACAAATAGACACACATGTCCTACATGTCATTATTTTTATCCTACATGGTATCCTAGTGTATAATGCCATGTAGGACTCATGTGTCTACTTGTTCAACTAAATACAAGTTTAAGTGCGTACTTGTACATACCCAAAGTTGAAGAACATAAACGTAAAATGAGGTCAAGTTAAAGGGCACATTTATGTATTATGCCCAAAAAGTACCACGTAAACTGAAACTAAAGTTTATCAATAAGATATTATCACCTTGGGAAATTGGCTCCTATCCTTTATGGAATTGCATATTGTTGGGAAAACAGCATGACCACAATAACAAAATGTATGCATACTTATTGCACTTATCAATCCATCCCATCTCTAAATCACACCTTTTTCTTCAAATCCAATACCATCAATTGCACCAACCCAAAATATTGAAAAAACCAAAACAATTGAAGCCAAAACTCCACCAATAGAAACATAAGCCAATAAACCTAAACTTTTCAACCATGTAGTTGGCAATATTACAATAGCAACCAATAAAACAAAAACTTCCCTTCCAAAAAATTTAACACAACTAACATGAATTTTTGCATTTGGGAATAATTTATGCAAATTGTCACCTTCTAATATTAGGAATTCAATTGCAACAAAGTATAGTTCAAGATATAAGAAAATTGATATCAAGATTCTTCCTTTGTTACCAAAAGCAAATTCACCAATATCAGGATATGTATTGATTGATGGTGAAACACTCATGCATTTTTGTAAAAGTATTCCTGTGTAACAACATATAATTGCTACTAAAAAAAAGTAGCATCAAACATAACCATCCTCCTTGTGAAAGTGCATAGGGTACTGATATTATTCCAATACCTGTATGATAGGAAAATGAAAAAAAATTAGCCTAAGTTTTATATATCGAGCTCGTAAATATTTATACAATCAGGTCACTTATAAGGGGATTATAGATAAATTTATCTATGTGATCATAAGCATAAGTAAGATCGATGATAGAAATAATAATAAGTAACTTGTTATAACATGTTGACCAATATACTAATAACGTAAAAAAAATGTTTACTCTGTTGGTGCATATAACTTCAATTAAAGTACTATACAACAACATATTCAGTGAAATTTCATAAGTGGTGTCTGGAGAGAGTATTTGGTGTATATACGCAGCCTTATCCCTACCCCATGAAGATAGAGAGGTAGTTTCCGATAGACCCTCGACTCAAGTAAAGCATAACAAAACAAGAAAGAAAAGAGTATACCAGTAGCACCAACAAATAATACAATAACCGAAACAAAAGAAATAACAAGTAAAACTAACCAATATAAGAAAGTAGGAAGAGAAAATACTAATACCACTTATAAGGAAAACTAGACAGCACGACTACTTTACTAACCTTTTACCTTAATTCACGACCTTCATATTCTCCTATCTTGGATCATATCTTCGATAAGCTAAGTGATAATGACTTATTTCAACTTTTGGATGTGTCTTGAAAACAACAAGAAGTAATGAGATGTTTACCTGATAATGCATTAATACCATTGAAACAATGTTCTAAAGAAAGAGGTTCCTTTACTAGGCTCCATAATTTGTGGAATCTGATTTTGAGTCTCAATTCTCTCCACACTATGGGATTCCATATTTTTTGAGTGTCACAATTAACATCAAAATGCTAGTTCATATATTGGGTTTTGGCGAATTTGTCTAGAATAAAAATATTCTATATATATGTTTTTAGTTATTAATTCAAATTAAAACTCAATAACTAAAAAGCTAGATTCTCAAACTTATAGAGAATTCTACGAAATGTTGATATGGATCGAAAAAGGATAATTCAAATAAGGCTATCATTGGAGAGAAAAAATTTATCTAATAGACTTGCACAAGTAAAAAAAGATTGAATAGTTTATTAGTTCAATCAAGGAGCGGAACATATGCTACATTAAAAATGATCTTTGATGGTAATTTATTAATGGTAATAGCTTAATCATTGCTAAATATGTATTTTTAGAAGCAATTAACATTCTTTGTAAATATGTCTAAAGTCTATAGCGACATTGGATTTAATGACTATCAATTAATATTGGTAAAAAACATTATCACTCTTTGTTAATTTGTATATTTATTACTGCTATTTTTATTCCGATTATTAAGGAAGACAAAGTTCTTCTAATCCTAGCATACCTTTTAATCTCTTTTATTATTTTCTTCTCTTTATTTTTCATTAGGTAATTTTCTATCAGTTGTTTTTACTATTCGACTTTTGTATTGAAACATTTAAAGCTAATATGTAAATAATAGTTATCTATGTTTTTCATTAAAATAATAACTCAATATACACATGCATACACTTACTACTTTAATTTTAAAAAATAGTTTGCATCCATTAAAAATGTCCTTTAGAATCAAACCTCTTTTATACTAAATTAAAGTCTCAATTTGTATGGGAATATTTTTTTGTTAATTTTGGAATATATCAATCCACACGTTTTTGCACGAATCTTTATTATAATGAGTATCTTAATATAGTACTACAATACTAAATTTTTAATTAATAATAGAATGGATTCTATCTAGTACAAAAATTAAAATATTATTTTTCATAAAGCAATTTGTTGGACATGAAACTTGACTCTGGCTCTTCCTCTTTATCAAGCAGCGTTAATTGGATATATATGAAATTTTATCGATTATTAATATCAAACTAATAGTTTTTGTTGATAATGAGTTATTGATTTAGTGATTTTGATAATAGTTTAAATTTTTTCTATTACTGGATTATCAGTATTCTTAACGGTTTGAGATTTTCTCTTAACAGATTAATCGATAACCCGATAGTAAATTAATAAATTATATTTATATCATTCGATATATAAAGTTCTTGACTTAGAGTTTAACTTTGTACTTTTATTTCTAGTTGTCTCAAACTCTCGATTATTCTACAATGTGTCAGTGTTTACATTTGGGAAAGATGCAATATTTGTCAAGTCATGTGCATGATTCGTTTGGTTTTCACCTTGTTTCTGAGTGATTTTCAATTAAAAAAATTGTCAAATCTTAATGGTTAAACCGATGACGATCAACAAACAATAGATCTGATACCAATAAGTTAATATCTTAATGGTTCTATATTAGTTTAGCATGTCTACAAATTAATAACTAAAAAATCAAATTGATAACCTTCAAAATCGAACCGACCGATATGTCGGCCCAGATTAATCAACCTGTGGTGCTAAATGTAGATTCAGAAGCAACGATTCACACAGACAAAACGTTTAACAACTTTTTATCACATTAATAATTTTTCTATCTTATGCTAATTATCTTTCTCTTTGTGTTATATATAGTGCTTTCATTTAATTTACATTGAGAATATTATACCACAATATTTTAAGTTTCGACTAAAAGTCTTACAATAGGATCGATTGGTG